GAAAGAGGGAAAGAGAGAGAGAGAGAGAGAGAGAGAGAGAGAGAGAGAGAGAAAGAGAGAGAGAGAGAGAGAGAGAGAGAGAGAGAGAAAGGCAGAGAGAGAAAAGGATTTCTTCAATTGATTAGTAATAAATATTCTTTTAATCCTTCTTTACAGAAGGAGATCTAGCCAGATGTTGGAGGACATTGTATGCAAAGGAAGAAGATTCACTAATTATAGGAAAACAACTTGAATGTAAGACGGAAATGAAACAAATGCAACTTCAAGGAACTATCATGTCAGACAAATAAAAATAATTTCGTTAAAAAAAAAAAACTTTTTTTTTGTTTTGTTTCATCAAATACACAGTATCTAACAATCTATTTCCTTCCTTCCTTTCTTTGGAAAAGAAAAAAAGCCTTTCCTTCCCCCTTTCCCCCCTCCCCATCCTCGCCATCCTTCTTTCTCTCTTCCTTCCAATGCACTCCACCCATTAACTGGTTATTATCATTTGATATAATTAATATAGTTAATGATATTTTTGATTGTAAAATAATAGAGAAAGACAGAGAGTTAACTACTGACTGGAAATAACCTGTATATTCTAATTTATCAATCAATACATACTTCTTTCAGGTAAAGCAGCTTTTCACGTGGACGACGTCTAATTATACTCATTTTGAGCTGAAGCAGAAGTATTGAGCGGTTGCAAATATCTGTCACAATCACAACATTTGAATATTTCTTTTTTCTTGTTTTTTTTTTCGCATTTCCTCTTCTCTCTTCAAAATTGTTTCAAAAGTTAAAAAAAAAAAGAAAAAGGAAAAACTTAAGCAATTGAGCAATCTTTTCTTTATTTTGTATTTGCTTTGGGTGTTCTTTCTATCTAACCAGCTTCTTCTCAATTTCATTTTGAATCTGTTCTCATCATCATCATCATCACAGCTCCACCTATATCACAAGCTGAAAATACATCATTTGACTATATCTCACGTGTATATAAAATGATTATGATAAAATAAAAAGTATAAGCTTATACATTGCTTCTCATCTCTGTCTTGTCCTTCATTTGATGCTATTCTAAGTAGATTTACGTTTATTTACCTTTTGTATTGTCTTTAAAATTCCTCTATGTTCATCGCAATTTTCAACATTTTCCTTTTCATACTCTCTCATTTCCTTCAAGCTTACATATGAGGAACAATTATATATTTATTCACATTCTATCATTATGTATAATCAGTATTATTATTATCATTTTCGCACAAATGTTAACACTGAAATTAGTATGAATTGAAGTTAAACTCACAATGGCACTCAAAGGAGTACGTTGCTAGCAGCCCATTCACAGTATACACTACTTCTTCAATCACATCGGATACTCGTTGTGCTCATCTTTACGTCTTCAACAAGTCTTCTAAGAAAAAGAAATATATATAAAGATATAATATAGTTTATAACTTATTACTTAAAGTATTTCTCAATCATTTCATCATCATCATCATCATATTTATCATCTTCGTCATTTATTTATCTTTCTTGTAAAAACATCGAAAAGCAATGTGAAGCTCCTCTTGAGTACACTAGAACTATTTCTCATACATATTCCCTTTTTTTTCTTCAACCAAATTTCTCTTTGACGAACAACTTGTGTTTGTAGATTCATTATGGCAGCTGGATGGAAAAAGTTCACCGGACAATCGCAATATCCGGAATTAACATCCAATAGTGAGGGATCAGCATTTACTTATGGTTCCAAACAGAATCGTAATTTCCGCATGTCATGGGTATGCAAATACGTTTTATTTTTTGGTTTTTAGCTCATGTTCCTGCTTTCATAATCATATGTTTGTTGATGATGATCAAGCTATATCTACTTTCAGTTACAAGGTCGTCGTGATGAGCACAAAGAGAATCTGATTATGGGATGGATCAGTCGATTGACAAATGAAGATCTGTCCTGTGGTTTTGAGGAGAATCTCGAAAAATTGCATGATGGAAAGATTTTATGCAGGTAAGAATAATTGGCTCACATTTCATCTCTCTATCTCTCTTTCTATTCTTCTCTCTCTTTCTCTCTCTCTTCATCTCTCTCTCTCCATCTCTTTTTTTCCTCTCTGTTATTATTGTTCTAGTCATGTAACTAATTTGATTCCTCAGAGGATATTTATACATTTTTAGGTTTCTGAATCGTCTTCGACCAAACAGCCTTGTACGTCCCATAAACGAGAAGCCAGCATTGTTTTCAGCCAATGAGAATATCAGCACATTTTTGGATAGCCTCAAGCGATTTGGCTTAACGTATGTTGATGCTAGTAATGATAGAGTCTTATAAATTATAATTTTAAAGAGATGATGATCTGTTTCCATCAAGTGATCTGCTGGAAAAACGAGATCTAGCAGGGCTCATAGCAACTCTAACAAAGCTTCAAATGATTTTGTAAATAATATTTTCTCTCTTTCTTCATCTTATCATTCATTATAATAAATAACACAGTTGAAATAATATAAACAAACAGAAAATGAAATGAACAACAATAACCGCTTTGTGCATATTTCTTGAAAGCCAAAATAGATGTGATAGATGAAATGACGAGGCATATGGTGCTATCTGTACATACTACGTCTACTACGTCTGCTCCTCATTAATATCGAAAGTACAGAAGTCATGAGATGATTTCGAAAGGCTCTTGCATGAGATTTCGTTTTTTGATTATTGAATAACCAGTTTTGTGTCTTTATCGACTCCAAATTTTGTTTTGTTTTCTTCAAACAAATTTGTTAACTCTTTAATGTAAATATCGTGAAGTTCATCAACTTCTTCTTTCGTCGCATTTTCATTCTTTGTCACCGGAATAGGACGACCAACTACTGTGTTAATAGGCTTTGGATATGGCAAATATCCGAATGTCATCTTAAATCAAAACTATTTGTTTTATATTGTGCACTATAAATTTACTTGGAAAAATCCTCGACCATGAAATAACGGCCACGACATTCCAATCTTCTTCTTCATCCATGTCTGAAGACGACGCAAAGCAGATCCCGGTGGATTTGGTATCTAAATTGATAATATACTTTGTTATTAATAGCTTTTACAAACTTGAACAAAAATTTCATTCTCTCCAAAAGAATATACGGGAACTAAGTGAGCTCCGGTTCTCAGAGCTTCTCGTACAAACCCTTTCCTTGATTGAAGTGTTAAGCAGTGATATCCTGGATGAGCGTCTAAAGCTTCTTCTGCTCCACCTGTTTTTGACTTATTTCTTAGACAAAGTACATTTTTCGAACTCACCTATCACAAGAACAACAGCATTTCCTTTTCCTTGTTTGGTTAATATGTGTTCGATTGATTCCTTTGAACATGATACGAAGCCGTAAAGCATGAGAAGTTCTCTACGAAGAAAAGTCTTAAAGTTTCCATCCAAAGTACATAGTTTGAAGTTCACGCCTGGGAACTGAAAATAAAAATAATCATCGAACAAAGTTCTTTTCAAAACCGTTTCAAGGATTCCAGTGCCATTTGTAGCAAAGTTTGTATACGCGGAGATAGCGATAATGCCATGCGGATGACAACCAATCAAGTAGTTCTGGAATATTACGGTTTAAGGAGGTAATAACAGAAAGGTATAGAACGGAAATAACAAGAACACACGTTTTCGGGCGGAAGTTCAGTTGTTTTATGCAATTTGACAGGAAAATACTCAGCGAACCAATCATGTATATGCCATCTGAAAATGAGATAAGTAGAAGAGCAAACGAAGATGTTATGAGCACCTTTTACACCACTCGCTCCGATAACCTCCTTTACATGGAGAGTCACGATCATAAAACCACCAACAAACATATAGAGCTATAAGGTGCCATTGGAAGGAAAAAAGCTGAACATAAAGCTTCAGTATATGTTTTCATCATCAGCTTATAGCTTACCAGGAAGACAGGAGTGAACAAGCTTATCAATGCTAATGGATAAGTCATAAAGAAATGATGGAAAACTCCTAAGAAGCGTTTTGAGTTATCAGACAGAAAATCCATAGTCATGACTGAAATGAAAGGCAATTTCGATAGCACCGGTTTTCAGTTTTATTGATGTAAAACAGCTGTTATGAAAGTTCAAGCATAAAATGATTTTCAGAATTATGGGAGTAAAAAGTATTATTTCATTGCACTCATTGTAAGGTATAACTAGTTCAACTTATAGAGCAAGCATGCTATCTTCAAAGATGAGCGAAATCAAGTTTGCATATTGCTATGAGACATAAGCTTATATAGTATAGGGGAGTTCAAAGTACATCAATGTTCTTTTTGTGCCAAGCAGACTAGACTGTGGCCTTAATGAAAAGAGACCGACGAAAAACAGTAATGAAGAGGAAAGACCGGGCAAGATAAAGAGAATAGAAAGAGAAAACAAGACCATAGAAAGAGAGAGATAGAGAGAGAGCGGAAGACGTCGTCTATGACAAACAACAATCAGATTTAACCTGAATGACGTTATAGTCACCATCACATATAAACTCTAACGGAGGAGAATAAGAAAGAAAAAACGGCTGATGATGAATTGAAAACAATCTTTGAAGTCTTGTTTCTCATTTAGCATATGCTCAGCAGCTGTTCAGCCATTTTGAAACTTGCTAATTTCATATTTAGCATGAACAATTACTGCTGATCACTTATAGGTTGAGAAACCTTGATAGTATTATTACAAATTTACTCTTAACTAAAACAATGGGAGAATGCTTGTCCAATCATTCTTGTTTACAGTTGAATGACCTTGTACTTTTCTACTTCAAGAATCTGTTCCTTTAAGTTTTTCATTGAATAATCAAAAATTTCTTTTTCAACTAACAACTTGAGGTGAGAAGCTGAACATCTTGTGCTTATTGTATCATCAAACAAATAATAGTAAATAAAAGCACAAAAATTACGCTTGCAGAGAGCTTATGCTTCTGGAGCGATGAGGACTGATGAACAGATTTGAGATCACAATATCATATTATTACAGCAAACTGATTTCTTCTCTCACTTCAAGAATATTTTGTAACCATGAGAATAAGATATACAAACAGATGTAGTCGATGCTTACGTCTGTAGTCTTGGTGATAGGTGTTTTGTCGTTAGCGTGCTCGGAATAGGATGAGGCGAAAGAAAAGCTTGAGTTCCCTTTTTATTTCGAACTATGATGGAGAGACAGAAATAGGGAACGGGAATATTGTAGGAAAAATTAATTCTGTCTTTAACATCACAGTAGCAATAAGTTTACATGTTACTATGAGTGCGTTCGAAAATTGCATTGCATTGAATCATTGACCTGAGACCTTATCGAAACGTTTCGATATCGAAGATTAGCTTCAACTATACTTCAACAAAACACTTCGAAAATGCCAAGATTTATTATTCAAAATATATAACAATTTACGAGTTCAACTCATTACAGAAACTTATTACACAATCATAGCAGACTGATATTTAAAAAACTAAGAGAAATATACAACTGCTACATGTCTCTGTTAACATTGCACTTTGGTTGCCACCTGAGTACCGGCTCCAAATAGCGCACCACAACCTGCACCAACACCTGCATTGAATCCTGCTCCTGCGCCTACTCCAGCACCAGCATTGAATCCAGCACCAGCTCCAGCGCCGACTCCTGCTCCAGCTCCTGCATTGAATCCTGCTCCTGCTCCTGCATTGAATCCAGCACCAGTTCCTGCATTAAATCCAGCTCCAGCATTCATTCCTGCGCCAGCATTCATTCCTGCTCCAGCATTTGCTCCAACGCCTACTCCAGCTCCAGCGTTAAATCCTG